CCCAGCACCCCGCTTTGTATCCCCCCCGCCCCCCAAAAAAAACCCAGAGGTGGGCATCACCCAGCTCCTCACAGCTGGGCAACAGGGAAAACTGCTTAAAAATAAACCCTATATGTTTTCAAGCCGCATTATTGGGGTTTCTCTCCCTTTTTTAAGCCTCTTCAACTCTTTTTTCCCCGCCAGGGCTGTGCAAGCATCCCGCTGGTTCCATACGAGGGATGCTGCGTTTCACATCCCAAATCCCTCTCCGTCTTTCGGGATGCCCCCGGTAAGCCTTAGGGATAGCGGAAAGCCTGCGATTTGGGTGGTTGAGCTGGAGCGCGGCTGAGCCGTTTCCGGGGAAAATGAAAAGAAACGAAGTTTTTAGGGGGGGGGGGATGTCACCTGGCAGAAACCCCACCATCTTCGGAGGTGGGACCGGCGTGTGCATGACTGAAACCCCCCCCAAAACCCCCACCGTGTGAGGCTTTACGGGTCGGCGTAAAACCTTCCGCCTTCTCCCCCCGCCGCAGGGAGCTGATGCCCCATCGCTGCTGCCGTCAGCGGGTGCGGGGACTTCTCCTTCCAGCGTGCTCAGGACTTCTCCCGCGTGTTTAAAATACCTTGAGACTAACCCTCGCGTAGAAATGCCAGGGATTCCAGCGGGCTGAAGCCCCGTGCGTCAGGGAGATAACTGCAACGGGCAATGCTGAATCAGGAAAATAAGCGGCTGTCCCCCTCCTTGGAGGTGGGGGGGGGGAAGAGCATCGCCGCTCGGCCGGGTCCTTGGCCACAAGGACCGCGGGAGATGCCTGGTCTCACCCCACGGCATCCCGGAGAGCCGCAGCTCCGGGTCCCAAGTCTCTGGGTACCAAGAGCTTCATCCCAGTAAGAGGATAAAGCCTTCCCGTGGGTCACCTGGCGCTCACACGGCTTAAATTAGCAGAGGTGACGCCCAGGTGGAGAAACGCGCCCATGTTTGGGGCAGAGGAGGTGTTTCTCTATGAAAAAGGGGATTTCTGCTCCCAGGACCATCTGAAGTCCAAGCACAACACGACGTTGGCCACGGACCAGCGTAGATGGGGAAAGAGCGTGAGCTCGTTTTGTTTTGGAGGAGGCAGAGACCAGAAAGTCCCAGGGCACCGGCCAAGCACAAACCCGCTGGTTTTCCCCTCGCCACTGCATAAAGGAGACTTTGAAGCACATCTCGTTTTTCCCTTATAACGTAAAGTTTTAAGTCGGAAAAACTCTCACCACCCGCTGAGGTCAGTGGTGGTGTTGAGCATTGCCGCAGCCGGGGATGCTGCCCGGGAAGGGGGCAGGAGCTGCTGGAGGGGGACAACCACATCCTTGGTTTCCCCATCCTCGATTTCTATCAGATTTGTCCGATATTTGTCTTCCTTCCTGGAGCCAGCTGAGGGATTTTGGTTGAACGGCTGAAGGGCAGCTGTGCCGAGTGGCACAGAGAGGGGATTTCATTTAAAACTCCCTTCTGTGTGTCTCAGCAAGCCAGAGACATAGTCCCCGCTCGAGAGTAGGTGTGCCAGGGGATGGTTGGGGCGCTGAACTCCTGGAGAAGATGCTGATCAAGAAGAAAACACAAGTTACGTGAAGATTTAACGTGTCCGCAGCCACAACTTGTGGTCTGAGAGGGTCAAATGTGGAAATATTTCTTCTCCAGGAGGGTTGTGCAGCCCTGGACTGGGCACATGGAGGTGAGGGATCCCCATCCATGGACGCTACCAGCCTCAGCTAGGCCAGCACAGGGCTGATACATGTGGTGGTGTACTGGAGACCTTCTGAGATCCCTTCCACCCACGTTTCTACACCCTTCGCCTCTCCTTTCTGCCCCAAAAGCTGACAGCTCGCAGGGGATGGTGAAGACTTGTCCCCGTGTTCCCCCTGACAGCTTCTACCTCCCACTTTGCTGCAAGACAAGGACCAAGCTCCTCCAGCGAGGGTCAGACTGTACGGACGAGGAAAGAGGCAGCTCCTGATCCAACCCAGAATTGATCTTGTGATTTTTGGGGGAGGGCTAATTTGCCTTTTGGTCCGAGGAAAGGGATGGGACTGTGGTTTAAGTGACCCAAACTCCAGCCCAAAGAGATCCCGGGAATAAGGTGACACCTATCAAAGGGCATCCAGCCTGGGGGGCTTCAGGGGGCTGGATGACACCCAACGACATGGCGAGCTGTGCAAGACACCACTGTCCTCTGTCCCTCACAACCAAGAGAGTTGCCCAAACTCTCCTGGAGCAGGCTAAGGAGTTGCAGAACTCCTCATGGCCCCTCAAAAACCCTCCCAAGAGGTGGCCACGCTGCAAGCAAGCCCCAGTTCCTCACAGGTCTCCGTTTTCCCTGAATCCAGCCACCTAAATTTGCCCCGAAAACAAGCACTGCAGCCCAAGATGTTGAGCTGGGTCCAGTTCCCACCGCTGCCCAAAGCGGGAACCTCTCCCAGCCAGCGGGAAAGCAACAGCTCTTGGGTTTGGGGCAGGAACATCTCACCATCCCACAGCTGCTCCACTGAGCAGAAGAGCCCAAGTTTCATAGCGAAGGGAAAGAAAAGAAAAAAAAAGAAAAAGCCAGTGTGACTCAGACATGTCAGAAAGTCCCTTTCTGGAGACGGGAAAGGGGGCAGAATTAGGGCAGAAATTCCAGTCCCTGCCCCAAGGACTGTTTATACATTTCAGCCAAGGCTTGTTACATCCAACTATGTGTAAACAGTCCTTGGGGCAGGGACTGGAATTCCTGCCCCCGTCTGTCCCAGGAAGAGCCCAAACCACCCACCCTCCAGTTGCGCTCCCTTCTACAGCCAGCAAAAGCTTTGATTTCTCACCCAGAAAGAACTCCAAGGCAGGAGGAAAGCGGTCTCCCAAGCTTTTATGAAACCCTTAGCTCCCCTTGGCCCATTGAGTAAGGAGATACCAGCGTGGAGCTGACCCAAATAGCTCCACAGAAAGGCAAAAGGATTTGAGCATCATGAGTATAAGCAACTCTATGCTTCTATAAACAAGAAAACAAAGCATCTGGGTGGTGATTTATTATATTTTTTTCTTTTTTTGCATCAGTTCTGAGCAAGGTGCGCTGGGAGAAGTTCCTAAGGGTATAAGGCTGGACAAAGCTCTGCCGAGGACAGGGCTTGACAAGATACTGGGATTCTGGTTTAGAGAGGCAAAACAACACCATTGGTGTTAGCACAAAGATTTTATCAGTTCAGGCTCCATTCCTCCCGCCAAGCCTCTTACAGTCTGCCAATTTTTTTTTATTTTTTTTTTTTTCTCCAATTGGACAGTCTACAAGCGTAGAAACCAGTGACTTAAATGGGGTTGCTGGGTTTCCGGCAGACAGTCAGAGTTCCTAGAACAGCAAGGATCAGGAGGACCAAACCAGCAACTACGGCCAACCCCCATACCATCCACAAGCGATGTGTATCTAGGAAGGAGAAGTACGGAGGTGGTTACGGCCAGAGCCGGGACCTGCCACACAAACCATCCCCCTTCCCTGGGTTTGCCCTACCTCCCAAAGGCGTCCTCCTAACTGGGTGATCCTGCCAGCTGTGGATGAAGAGAGGTCCAACAACAACATCAGCTTCTCTCACCCAGGGATCTGAAAAGGAGGACCTTTGGGCACTCACAAGCTTGTTTGAACATCTAGCTGTCCCAAGCACTGAGGAGCCAACAGGCAGCTCCAGCCACCCAGCTCAGAGCTAGTTGCCACGAGGGTGACAAAGCCCAAGAGGCACGCTGAGACCTACCAAGCTGGGAGGGCAGTTCTCTCCGGACACGTCCTCCTTGCCATCGGGAAGGAGAGTGGAGCCTCCTGGAGTGCCTGGCCAAGTCACAGTTCCTCATCTCACAGCAGGAGCAGATGTCCCGGGTGCCTTCCACAGGAGTCCAGCTAGAAGAGAGCCTGGTGAGCAACCCACCCTATGGTAGGAATCCCTCACATGCTTTGGGGTCTCCTAGGAGAGAACCCACCCTCCCAGCCAGGTGGCCAACCCCACCTTCCTGGATGGTGACACACCAGACAAGAAGCCCAAGCTCTTCACCTTTGAGCAAGGTGCTGTTCCAGCTACTCACAGGTTGCTGACTTTGTTGAAGGAACAAGCCTTGTTCAAGGGATCGGGAGCTTGGTCAGCCGGGGAGACCT